GAAATCTGGGTAAAGTTAAAAAGATAAATATTAAAAGTTACAGCAACAACAGTTATGTCAAATGTACTATGGAATATAAGACACATGCTTACACTTCATTACTTAACAAAAATCTGATAATAAACAATAGGAGTGTCTTCATCATCAGTACCACTATCTCCACACACCCTCACCTCAATATCATCAGTAGTGATATTGCTACCATAGTCTCTGTGAAACCATGGGATACCAGGAGCAGCACAGCAAGCTGTTTCAAGAGAACGGCAACTAATGCTATTGCCACTCCAGAGGTAATTATTTCTATAGAGAGTAGGTGATGCAGTATTACTAGGATTATCTGAGTCACAGAAGTAGTTATTACCAATAAAAGATGGAACGGATACTGAACTACCAGTATTACATGGACATGAACGTGACGAAGCACTTGCTTCACTAATACCAGCCATTAGTGTCCAGACATGTTGACGAGGAGACCCACGAGTGATACTAACACCATCAACATAATAAGAATTAATGTCATTACGATATGAATAGTTAGAATTCGCAGGTTGATAAATGGCATCAGGTGATCCATATTGATATCCCAATACTCTGCCACATATCTGAGAATAACTGACACCATTAGATGGGTATATAACTGATGCACATCCACCACTGCTTGTTGCTGGTCTACCACAAGATTTATAATATCCTCCTACATGGTACAGTCTAAATGCAGAAGGACAATTTGGCATAAGACTACCCAATTCCATATATGCTAATCTTGTCCACCCTCCTCTTGAACCACATAGTATTCCCGTATCACAATAAGCAGTATACTCAGTTGATCCATTACCTGATGTTAATGTATAATAGCCTGATTGAGTGACCTGGTATTGCCTTTCCAATTGCTTGCAAGAGGTAGGTGATTCATTCTGCAGAAGTTTTTTTGTCACAAGTAGTATATTGTTGACCACTCCAGCAGTAGAGGTACTGGTGTCTTGTAGATTAGAGAGAGTATTGACAATGTTAATGAGCTTTTGTCCAGAATCTCTTGTACTTTGTAAAATTTGTTTATCAAGTTCATTGAAGTTGGTATTGTTCTCATGAAAAAGTTGAAAGGTATTTTGTGATACATCATTAGCCCATGCATTAAAGTCAGGAAGGCTCTGGTTAACTTTATTGACTATATCATCAGACCAGTTAGTCAAGTTATATCCACAATTACCAGCTCTGGTAATTGTGGTAACATTTGGGTTAGAATTACCAGCACTAGTACTGGTTGTAGACATATGGGCCAGTAACAAGCAAAGGATGACTATCAATAGTATTATAATCAGTGACAGTAAAGCAATGATAATAATGATTAATTTATTCCATGTTACCTCCTTGTTTTTCATATTCTTAGGCTGTTCAGCCCTCCCTTCTTCAGCAGTACTAGCTGAGGTTTGACACAATTCATATACACTGTCCTCTTTGATAGCATTCTGTCTCAAAGATTCATAAGAGCATTTCTCCTCCATTAGATGACAAAGATTCACAGTAGATCTTCCCAAATGTATAACTTAATGAAACTGACAAACAATTTGCATGTATATATATATAACATATATATATATATATGTTTATGAATGGGGAGAATACAATAGCT